TTTCAAAGCTAGCCTATGTAGAATACCTTGGATGTTCTACTTGGGTATGTAAGATATAGAATAGATTTGTGATTCTTAAATCAACTTATGAAATTCTAATGATACTATTATAAAATGGTTGCTGTAAAGGCAAATGCAATTGGAAAGGTCGTATCGCGGTTTTTCAGGACAAACTACTTAATTTATGTAATATTGAGTGTCACGGTAGTCATGATCCTGAACATGTTAGGAAAAAAAACCATATCGAATGGCAAAAGTAATCAGAAAGGAAATTACAATCAGATCTACAAATATAACGCCATCAATGTTAGCAACAGGTAAATTTAGAAATGCAATTTTTTTTTTAAAAAAAAAAACATTTGAAAAGATTTAACTATATTATTAAATTTGCATATTTTAGAATTTATGAACAATGCAAAGATTTCTAGTACAATTTCTAGTACACCCACCAATCAAGTTCAATCAGTCTCTACTCAATTCACGCCTAATCTTGAGGCAATTCAAAATGCACTCAAGTATGATAAAAAATTACATTATCCAAGTGCATTAGAATTTGAGAAGGTGATTTTTTTTTTTTTTTTTTTTTTTTTTTTTTTTTTAATTTATTTATATTTTTGATATTTTTGATTGTGTTAAAGGTTTGTTCTATAATGAATACTTATGAAACCGAAGGTGTTGTAATATCAAAACAATATGGCATTAAGGACTCCAAAGATCCCAAAGAACAAGCTGTGCTTCTTGGCATCGCATCCACAATTATGCTAAAGCTGTTAACCAAATATTTAGACCTTCTTGCAGTAGATTCTACTGGCTGTCATAACTGTTTAAACTTTCTGAATACAGCCTTTATAGTTAGATCGGATGAACCCTGTGGTCGAATTATAGCAACATTCATAAATGATAGAGAGACAATACCAGTTGTTGACCTAATGTTCGAATCGGTAAGTATTTTTGGTTATGTTTTTCTAGACTTGATAATATTATAACACTAGCTATTTGTAGCTAATTCAATATTGTGCTAAGAATGATGTTCAGCTAAACTCTAAGTGGTTAACTATGGACAAATGGGACCCTTATCTTACGGTGGCTAAGAAACATTTTCCAAATATACAGGCAATTTTATGTGATTGGCATGAGGGTTAGTTTTTGATTTATTTTTATTTTTTACTTTATTTTTACATTTTCACGATGTTTGCATTTTTTTTTAGCTGATGCTTTGAAGGAATGGTTTACGAAAAACCTGAATGATCAATGGATTAGAGACCGTGTCTTTTATTACTTCTGATTTGTCAAGCGATCCCGAGATCAGGAAGAATTTGATCAAAGGAAAGCTACCATTTTAAATGAGAAAACCGTTAGAAATGTGACTTTAGATGCTGCAAGAATTATTACGTCTTATTTCTGAACACACTGGTTTGGTGATTGGGTTGGTTAGTTAATTTAAGTTATTTTATTATTGGTTTCTGATAAAAATATCAAGAGTTTATTTGTAATTTTATAATATCGAAAGAATTTACTTATCAAGAGCTTTATTTGTAATTTCATAGTTTTGTGTTTAACTTTGCTGTATTGAAAATTCACTATAACAAGAAGGGCTAATATCTTTCACGTTTTATATTATTTCGTATTAATTTTGTAATAAATATCTGGCCAGATTATAAGCGTAATAATTGTCCTATGAAAACGAATATGTTATTAGAAAGTTATTTTAAGAAGGACATGATAATACATTATCGAGGAAGATACACTAAGTCTTTACACTCTAACCTTGAAAAAATTGGAGCGTCAATGCATGTGGATGCTGGGGAAGTAGAAGGTTAGTTAAAATATAGTTTTTTTTTTGAAAGATCAACTAATCTTTTTCTAAGTAGGTTTTGGGAAGGAGGAGGCAAACCTTCTACAAAATCGCAGTTGCAACGAGAAAAAGAAAAAATTATGAGACAAGGCGAATTATTATATAAAAAAAATCTTGTTCAAGGTAAACATATATTATTTATTCTTTTTATATATATTTACATTGATTTATTTAATTTAAATTTATTTTATTTATTTATTTATTAATTTTTTAATTTAGAAATTGATCAAAATTCTTGGAATGTGTTCTGTTTTGATATGAGTGATGATATCCAAGTTGTTGCTGCTGAACTAAATGATAATATTGATAATATTAGTGAAGAAAGCGAAGAAAGTTCAAGATCAGATGTTTATAAACTGGAAAGCCAAAATATGAAAATTTCTGAAATAATTGATAACCATATTATCAAACAACGTGAAAAGCCACTATGTGTTACTCGCCGAAGTGGAAAATTTGCTTGTCTTTGTAGTTTCAATGTTATTCGTGGTCATGATTGCCAGGATATTGTAGCTGTGCGTTTCTTTATTAATGAGCTTGAAACACGAAAGTATGAACTATTTATTTATTAATTTTTTTTTCTATGAAAATTTATTAATATCTTTTTTTTATACAGCATTATTTCTTGTAATAATCACAAGCTGCAAAGGTTAAGATTCATTTTACTTTTATTATAAAAGTAAATAAGTATTAGGATGTGCAGACTGTGCGTAGCACAAATAAATTTTGCGCACATTTTTTGTTTTGAATAGATGTGTGGATACCTACCGCACAGAAAAGCTATTTTGTAGATAGTGCGAATAGTTTCAAACTGTTACTTGTAGTTTTTTTTTTATTTGCTGCACAAAAGGTTTTCAAAATTGTGCGGTATCCGCACAGTAAATTTTAGTTAAAAAATTAGCACTGAGAAAGGGTACCTGTGTTATATCACTTTTTAGTACAAGTTTGTTAGTGCTGATAGTATGACTTATGTATAATTAAACTAACACACTATATTAATGCATCATTTTTTGCTTTTTATATAGTTCTGTGTCCAAATCGACTTCAAATAGCTCTCTCGAATCTTATCTTCGTCAGAAGAATGCTTATGGTAATAGCAAAGATGAGCTTAAATTACCTCAAAAAAGAGGACCTAAGAATAAAAGAAAAAGCAGATTAATTCCAGAAGAATCCGTTCAAATTCAAGATGCAACACTGGATGAGCCCTACCATAAGGTTCAAATCATTGAAATTATTAGTAATGATGAGATTATTGTAGATATTATGCTGGCAAACGTAGCAAGAATCAACGAACAGTTCAATTAACTGATATAATCGGATACGATGATAGAAAGATAAAAAAAAAATCAAAGGTAATGTGACTGTGATTTATTTTAACTTTTTATTATGTATTTATTTAATAATGTTCTTTATGAATTGATAATAGGTAGACAAATCAATTAAATCTCCCCAGCTTACTATGTCATCTATGGACTCTCATGGTAATGCTGTTGTCTTTACGATGCCATACAGAGGAAAAAAAAAATGAATTGTACTTAACATCTACCTGCCCTGTGAATACGAGCCTTACACTCATTCAAAGTGCCTTTACTCACTATAATATACACAAACAAGCTAATGATTTGGCTCTAATCAACCCAAATTCAAATACATATCTTCTCCTTCAAGTTTTGGATTGTATGAAAAATAAACAATGGTCAGAAGCAAAAGTCCTCTGGGTCGAAAGTTTACCATCATACTCTAAACTAGTAAATGGTGATGAAATAAATTTTTTTGGAGGACTTTCGGAACGGTTTTTTGAGCAATTTTTTCAGGATTCTTTAGATCAAAATCTTATTGTCGTCAAAAGTACCGTAACAATGATATGTGATTCAGAATATTGTTCAAGAAGAGTTTTGCCTCTGGCAAATTGTTATGATATTATACTTACGTAATTGTTATGATGTTATACTTATAACGCTTAGTTGTTTTTTCATTCTTATTTATTCTAGTTTAATCTTTATTATCTTTTGGCATTACTTTATAATTGGCTTTTAAATGATTTTATTGACGCTCACAAATTTTAATAACTTATCATTCTAGAAAAACACAAGCAAGCATATTACCGGAAAGTAATTATTTTGAAACTTATTTTAGACAGTGGAAAGAACCTTATATTGTCCCTTGTGGATCGGAATTCAAGACCATGAATGGAGAAAAACCAAAAAACATTTCAATAAGCGCCTTCAGATTTGATAAATGTACATCCATAGAGACTGGAAAAACTAAGTAATTCATCTTTAATTTTCCTTATATCTGTCGAATTTTATTTTTTATTTTTTATTTATTTTTTTTTGATTTATTTTTTTTTTGATTTATTTTTTTTTTTGATTTATTTTTTTTTTGATTTATTTTTTTTGATTTTCTTTTTTATTTTTTTTTTTTTTTTTTTTTTTTTTTTTTTATATTTGTTTGTTTGTTTGTTATATGATGCATCAACAAGACAAATCGATCAGTGGTTACCTCTTATTCTTGCAATTAATGTTACGGGAATCAATATTATTGATGAAGAAAAATATCTTGAAAATAAAGACCTTCCAGAGGAGATCAGTTTTCCTCCAGATGATGTACATGTAAAGCAAAGGTATATTCTAGTTAATTTTTTTGATTTTTTATACTACTGTAACTATTTACAATTTTAAATTAAATATCGTCTTACGGGGATTTCGTTTTGCAATAACAACCATTATATTGCCGATGTTCGCTTTGAAAATATAAAAAATTCAGGCTGGTACCAATACGATGGATTGGGAAAGACCTACCGTGCGAGAGCAATGTACATAGGGAGTGTACGTCCACCTCACAAAGATGGCTATGCAATGGATTTCGTAATTTATGTAAAGACTTAGACATTTCACTAATTTTTACAAAAATTTGTATGATTATGCTTATACTACAGAGTTAAGATATTAATTAATAAATTATGAAAAATTGTGTTTTTTCAAAATTTGCTTTTATATGTATACTAATCGCAAGAATTAGCTTTTCCAAATAACAAACTTCATAATCAGTTTTATTAACATTAAGTAACTAGCTCCATGAACACACATATAATCAATATGAAATTTATTCATATGGAAAGGGTGTGATTTATTGTTTTTGTTAATTTTTTCGTCCTCATTTTGTTTTTTTTTAATATTGATCATCAATTAAATAGTTTATAAAATAAAATTTAAGAAACAACAGTTTACTTTTCTATACGAGAATTTACTAGTAGTAAATCCATCAACAAGTACATTATTTTAATAGCATTGACGACATGGCCCACAATCAAAAGTAATATGCAAATAACAATTAGGGCTTATTATGTGTTGGTCAAAAAAATGACACAATCGTAAAAATCTATGAACCTGCTTAGCTTATTTTGGGATATACAAACTAAATTAATGTAAATGAATAAATTAACGAGGCGTTGCATAACAATCCAAATCAATGATTAATTAATAAATGAAACTTTTTTTAGATTACTTACTAAATTGGTACTAATGAAATAATATATTAAAAAGGTAAAACAATTAAGATCCATGAAGCAACTTATCTTAAAAGATATCAAACAATAAGTGGTTTTTATATCCTACTGATTATTAACATGAATAGAACGAAATTTCATGAGATCCATAGTAAATTCTTTAAATATCTTACTTCAAATCTACAGATTAACAATCTTTATACTCATTAACTGATTTAACATGAATAAACTAAAAAAAAAATATAGAACTATAGTAAATACTTATCTAAATGAATTAAATTATAGTGTATTTGTAAATTGCACCTGAATTACTTAACTTAGATATATAAGAAACCTTTGTATATCAAACAATGTTGGAAATCCTTATAGGTCTAGTAATTTGAATTTAAATTAGACATATGTATATAGATTGTCCAGACTTATGCGGTTTCATTGCTTAAACAATAAAAAATCTATAAGTCTGGACACCCTACTTTTATACTGTACTATAATGTTGTTGCTTACTATTTATTTTTTAACATATTTGACTATATAGCGACCAATTCAAATTAAGCTATTAATCCTATTATCTTATAAAAGGAGAAAAGTAAAAGAGTAAGTAAAAGCTATACTTAATACTACTGTACTAACAGCATAAAAATTTAGTATAAGTTATAGTTTACTATACGTCACTCTTGTTAATAGCGAACTCTTGATATAAGCATAGTGAAGGACAGTTTATATAAAAACCTTCCCGATACAGTGAATTTACTAATAAACTCCCGATACAGTGAAGGCTTAATAACTTCATTATAACAAAAGTGCTTGTATAATAAAAGAGAGTTGTATATCTTACTGATTTATATATAAGCCAAATTTCACTTTATAAAAAGCAGTTTTTGTCTATAAGTAATATAA